CGTCTGCCGTTGCTAAGCGACCGTGACCTGCGCTCTCCAAGACGACGCGCAAGTTTCAACAAAAGATAAACGGATTTCCAGCACTGAAAATCGCTTGCAGTAGCTCTGCTACTAAATGTATTTAAAATGTGTATCTCTGTATAGCTGTCGTGTCCGGTGTAGACACCGTGTCTGTGTGTGAGCAAAGAAAACGATCAGTATAAATATAACGATCAGTAGCCTAAACATCGCACATCCTGCAATGTGACTATCACGGATGCGCACATCGCGATATCGATGCTGAAACGATATATCGTGATATATTTATAGTTAACTACTATAAATACATAAAAAATTTAATTACATAACTGCATATGTAATTTATATTTAATTATTAAATATATTTTAAATACTATAAATCACAGTAAATAATTAGGTTCATAATTTATGTCATTTATTTGTATGATATTATAGTATACAGTAGTCAACATTTGAAGTGGATCAAAACCTTTCTTCAAAGTTGTCCTAAAACCTAAAACCAAAATGTGTTCTTGTCTTAGGACAACTTTGATGAACTTTTTTGATCCACTTCAAATGTTGACTACTGTATATTTAATAATATTTTAGTATTTAATCATTTAAAATTGTAACGCATTTAATAGCATTTAATAATTATGTTATTTTAATTATACTATTTAATAATGATAAAATATTACAATGGTAAATATTTACATTAACTACAATTTACAATACTACAATTACATAAATTAAATTACAAAATTACATATGTAATTAATATTTAATTATTAAATATATATTAAATACTATAAATCACAGTAAATAATTAGGTTAATAATTTATTTGTTATCATATTATAGTATATAGTTCTGTTATTGTAGGGTGTTTTTTCGAATAGGAGGGCAGTGTGCCCTGTGATTTTTACCCAGCCAAGAGGCTCAAGATTGAATTGGCAGGTTACATTTCTCTACACAGCACATGCAAACTTAAGTGGTCCCAAATCTTGTATGAAAGAGTGTGTAAATCCTCCCCATCCTTCTTTAAAAAGCACATTGACTGAAGAGGCCATCATCGCTGGGGTTCCCTTCTGATGCAGGTCTGAACGGCCGTGTGTCGATCGACAGCTGTCTCCTCGAGTCCCTGCAAAAAATGTGTGGTATGACAAAAGTAAGGCTTCATTAATTATTACATATAAATACAATAATTCATTTTAAATAATGGCATTTTCAAAAATGTATGATATTGCTTACATTTATTTTGCCAGAAAATACATGAATATATTATGAAAGATTCTTTTATTTTAAATAATTATTAAATAATGGCATTTTCAAAAATTTATGATATTGCTTAAATTTATTTTGCCAGAAAATACATGAATATATCATGATAGATGATCTTTAAAAAAAAAAAAAAAAAGAAAATTAAAATACAAAAAAAAAAAATAATTTTAAAAAATTTATTATAATACTAATAATAATAATAATTTTAAATCAAGGTATTTTTAAAAATGTCCCCCCCAAAAAATTATATTGCTGAAATTTAATTTGACAGAAAATACATGAATATATCATGAAAGATGATCTTTAAAAAAAAAAATAGAATAATCATAATAATAATAATAAATAATAATTTTAAATCATGGTATTTTTAAAAACTTCCAAAAAAAATTAATATTGCTGAAATACATTTTGCCAGAAAATACATGAATATATCATGAAAGATGATCTTTTTAAATAATTAAATAGTTTTTAAATAGTAGTATTTTTTTTTAAATCCCACAAAAATTAATATTACTTCAATTTATTTCACCAGAAAATACATCAATATATCATGAAAGATTATCTTTAGTTTTAAATAATTATTAAATAATTGTAAACAATGGTATATATTCAAAAAAAGTCACCGATCACGGTCTCGTCTGGATGCAGCTCTCAGTCCTCCGCTCCTCCTCTCACGCTCACGGTCTCGGTTCCTCAGCCGCTGCATAAGATCTGCAAACACAGACAACATGAACATCACTTTCAGACAAAAATTATCCTGGAAAATAAAAAAATGTAAAACAATTTAGGAAATTAAAAAAAGGTACTGAAGATGAAAAACATCAAATTATGCTTTAAAAAAAAAACTCCAATAAAAATGTGACCCTGGAGCACAAAACCTTAAGTCGCTGGGGTATATTTGTAGCAATAGCCAACAATACATTGTATGGGTCAAAATTATATTAAAAAATTGACCCTTATGACTGGTTTTGTGGTCACATATGGCAATAAGGGCTTAAAAAAAGGATCCATAGGATACATACTGCTAGCCTGCATTCCCTTGCTAACACTCTGTACACAGTCCAGATTGGGCAGCTTGTCGTTGGAGAGGAAGGCCTGTGCGATAGCCGTGTAAAAGCTCCGTGCCACTCCGCTGCCCTCTCCAGGTTCATCCTTGAAAGTCACTTTCACGCGGTGCACCGCCATAGGTGTAGTGGTGCAGCGGCGGCCGAAGTGAGCGTTGATCTGGCGCATGGTCTGCTGGATGAGCTGCTCTCGGTCGCGGTCCACCTCCAGGGCCAGATCACGTGACTGCAGGTTCCTCAGCTTCTCCATCTCACGCCGGAACTTGGACTCCTTCACCTCGAAACCTCCCAGTTCAGTCAGGATCTGCAACGTTCAGAGTAGAGGTTTATCACTGAAAATAAAATGCTTACTCTCAAAACAAAGCGCAGAAATGAGCTGTACTCACAGATCCCGGTTCTGCTCCCACGTCCTCCATGAAGACTCGGCCGAACAGCTCCAGAGAAAGCCTCCAGCGGCCCAGCAGCATGTCGTGAGAGATCACCATCCCCATAAAGCTGCAGTGTGGACTGGAGGGAAACGAACAAGAAACGTCACTAACGGAGTCACTCACTGAGTCCCTTACTGAATCCATGAATGTGCTGACTTACATAAATGTGGGAAGCGGCGGGCCGTCGCTCTCTGTCAAACCAATCTCTGCGAGCAGGCTGCTCTTTAACTGGGCCGCCAGATCGTGAGGCGAAGGGCCTGGTTTGGACGCATCCATATCCTCCGCAGCCGGCTGCTCCTCGCCACCCCTCTGCCGAGACTCCATACTCATCACGTTCTTCATGTTCGCCGAATACGACATCTTTGTGGGTAGAATCTGGGATGAGAATTATCCGTAATAAAATATTGTAAAAATAGTTTTACTGCTCACTGTTGTTGAGAACTGCCCAAAGAAGCATTTCTGACTGCACTGAGAAACTAACATCAGTTTTGCCAAAAAAGGTTTTTATATTGTGTGTTTTATGTAATGTTTACATAAAGACTTATTTAAAAAATAAAAAAAATAAATAAATAAATAAAATGTAAGTACATTTTTATTTAAAATAAAACTACACATAAAAATAAAATAAAATATTGAAAAAACAATGGCAATAAAAAGTAAAAACAAACAAAACCAATAAATCAAAATAAAACAGAAATTACAATGTTTACCTGCAAGCAATTCATGTCCACAGTCAGATCTGTGAGGCCTTTACTGGCCATGTACGAAGATGAATACAGACCCTGACTTGGTCTTCCAAACAAGTCCTCCTTTCTGGCATTGGGCTGTGAGATGAAGAGGAAAAACAGCAGTGTTAAAGACTCAGCCATCTGGAATGACATCACAAACCACCTCTAATGGAGGCCATGACAGCGCAGGTAAAGGGCATCTCTGACCTGCAGGAGATGCGGCTGGTCAGCCAGAGGAATGGCCTCAGCAAGGGGCACTTCGAAAGGGTTGGGAGGGATGCATCCCAGGAAGGTCATGGAGTCAGAGCGGCGGAAAAACGGATGGTGCTGTCCGGTCTCAGCAGGGACCGACTCCTCGTCCTTGTCCTGCAGGGTGGAGCCTGTGGAGTCCAGAGTAACAAAGCAGTTTGATTGGACAGCAGGAAAGCAGCTCCAGAAACACCAGACACCAGAGCCATGCTGCTATTTGAATCTGCGAGGTCCACTTTGGCTCATGAGGTTTGTGCATAGCATTAATGGAAACAACGCTTAAAGCATTCGTGCTGAACTCACTCTGATTGGTGTCCTCGTCGTTCTCGTGCTCAGAGTCCTCATTGTCCAGGCCGAGCTCCAGCAGCTCACGATTCCTGAAACGGGATAAGAAAAGTATTTAGAAATCTCACAACAATCAAACAAACAGATCTGGGCAAAAAGTGTATGAAAAAAGTATGTTTTTTAATTTTAGTTTAAGTAAAAAATTTTGTAAATTTGTTGTGTGCTTGTCATTTTTAGTTTTTTTTTAGAATTAGTTTAAATTAAACTAAATGTTCTTTTTATTATTGACTTTTTTTTTTATTGACTTTTTTTTTTTTTAAGTAACGAAAATATATTTTTTAATGTTTTATAACTTATAAAAACCCTGCAATATGTTATATATTGATGACTTTGCCAGCAACAAACTTAATCAACAAGAAGAAATGGGCATTCATAAATCACCGTTTTAGTGTTGAAAAGTTGTGCAAACTTTCAGGAAGCAGCAATGCTAAAATATTTGTAAAAAAGTATAAGAAAATTGTTAGATTTTCAGAAGTAAATTTCACTAGTCCAAGTTGACCAACGCAAACAATAGTTCACCATTTTAAACCAGTTCAAAGAAAGGGGAAAAAAAAGCCTTAACTAAAGCCTTTCATTAATTAAAATAGTTGAAATAAAATTAAATATAAATGAAAAACTTGAAAATGAAAAAAAAAATTTTGCCTTGGCAACTAACTGAAAAGTAGTAAGATTAATATGAAATAAGAAACAGCAAATATTTTTTTGAAAACGAATAAAAATGACAAGCACAAAATTAAATAAATGTTAAATTAAAAGACAATTTAAAATATTTATAAATACTATAATAGTACATAATACTAAATGTCTGTCACTGTCAAATATCAACAAAAAGCTAAAAACAAATCTCTATAAAATATCATCATCCACACTAAACACTACTAAAGTCATGTTTTGAAGTGCTAATATGGGTCGTTTACCTCTTCCTGTCAATCTGAGTGGTGTCGAGTGTCGTCTGCAGATTCATGGCTTTAATCCAGTAGATGAGGGCCTGGAAGACGTACGCCACGTGTTTGAGCGAACACACGTCCAGTACAGGCAGAACGTCTGAATGCTCGTCGTTATGAGAACGCATTAGAGACAGAGCGTAGTTCAGGAAGTCTCCTCGAGCCGACATCATCCCCTGACGAGCCGTCAAAAGTGTAGCGGCGCGCCTGGAACACAGAGGATGACATTATAATACGACAATAGAGTGCTGCAGGAATGATGTGTTTTTGTAGGACAAAACCCGGAAACGAGTTAGCATTTTAGCACGTCCGACTTCATCATACTGAAGTCAATGGGCTTTTTGAATGGGTGTTTGGTTAAATGCCTGAAATAACATCTGAAAACAAGCTCAAGATATTTCACATTTTATTCTACAATATAAAATACTCCACATAATAAATAAATAAAAAACACTAAATACGATTTAAAAAGTAAATTAATTAATTCAAAAAAAGAATAAAAATAAACTAAAACAAAAATAAAAACTGAATTAAACAAACAAACAAACAAACATAAAAATTAAAAAGAAAAGAAAAAGAAAAAAATTTAAACCAAATAAAACTAAAATAAATATAAAACTAAAATCACAACTAAAACAAAGACAAAAAAAAAAACTAAAAAATAAAAATTAAAAAAGTATAATAAGAAAAAACTGAAATTAAATAAAACTAAGTAAACAAATAAAAAACAAATAAAATTAAAACTAAACAAAAAAGAAAACTGCGATTGTTAACAAGTGGCTAAATGGCACTACAGAGGTTGTCAGGGACATTAAATGTCACCATCATCACACCAAACAGATAAACTAGGGCTGTCAAAAAAAATTCGAATTTCGAATATTTGCCGAATTTAAAATAAAAGTCCACATTCGAATGCAAAAACGTTGCATTCGGGAGAAAAAAAAAAGCCCTTTAAACAGAATGCATATTTCGCTCATTTTCTAGAGGGACATCTATCAGCGTTGCACTCGCGTCTCGCACAAAAGAGCCGCATGTTTAGAAAGCCATGTAAAATTAATGCAAGTTCAACTTTGAAAAAACATATCTCGAGACTTTATGGCGGGGTTTTTTTCCCATCCCACTGCAACTCGTGTTTTTAAATGAAAAATGTACTCTGTGTGATTGGCTTTCGGCCCTTTGTATTAAACTCTTCAATAGTATTTTTTTCCATACTATGGCAGTCAATGGCTACCGTCAACTGTTTGGTTACCAACATTCTCATACAGGTTTGGAACAACTTAAGGGTGAGTAAATTTTATAAAACAGATAGTTCCGGTCCTGGATTCTGATTGGTTGAGCCGCATTCGAAGCTGTTGCAAATTACTCTACAAACATACACCTTTGTTTACTTCTGTCTGTTGCTTGGCAACCACTTTGTTGGAACCACAACTGTTTCTGAGGAACTACATTGTTTGGTGGAAGAATACTGTTTTTATTTATATCATTACACTTTATTTGCTCTGCTTTATTCTGCAACCAGCATAACAAAAAATGTTTCTGAAGACCTTTTGCACCTTTAACTGCCCAAAGGTCTTACCTTCGACCTTCAAGGGTGCGGAGACTGGCTTCCTCTCGAGCAGTCATGCGCTCCCTGCGGCCTGCGTGCTGTGAAGCGTGCAGCGGGTGACTGGGGTGACCAGGATCCCCGGCTGATGACAGAGCGGAGCCGTATCGCAGCTGCGCTTCAGTGGAATCCATGATGGACACCATCCAGTTCCAGGTGGGGATCAACTTTTCCTCCACAAAGTTCTGCAAAATGACATTATCCTGTTATATTTTGCCTTTATTACAGTCCGATTTTGTTCGGGTAAAGGCCGAGCGACTCACCTGCAGATTAACCGCGTCCTGATAGGTGAGTTTGACTGCAGCGGGGTACTGCGAGTAGACCAGGTGGTTGTATTTGGGTATGAGGCTCATGAGGTCGGAGATCTGCCGGATGACGATGCTGTAGGCTCGAGCCAGGCTGCTGGCGGATGTCAGGTAGCTGCTGGAGTTACTGGCCTCCAGGGCTGCTGCGGCGGCTGCTGCGCTCGTGCTGATGGCGCTGCTCCGTCGCAGGTTTGAAGGATCGATGTAGATGAGGCCCGTGGAGCTCGCTAAAGGAGACATTAGAATTATTGCTACTAATATTAAATTCCTTATATTTTCCAGAATATAACTTGTTTTTTTTATCATCTGAAACGTGCTGGGAATTATGGCGCACTCAAGTCCTAGTGGGAAGTTTTTACACATTAGATGCATTCAAGTCACTTTGGTTGGAGCAAGATTGCAATGACAATGGGGAAAAAAAAAAGAAAGAAAGAAATATCAGTGTCATTGTTGTCAATGTTAACTAAAACTAACCAAAACTAACTTTTCTTAAAATATAAAAATGAATAAATAAATAAAAGATGACAATTTTCATTTTTGGGTGAACTAACCCTTTAAATTTAAGATGAAGTACTGAAATTACAAAAACTAAAAAAAAAAAATTATTAAAATAAAAAAAACAAACTTACTAAAATTAAAAGAAAAACTGAAAATATTCAAATAAAATTAATTCAAAATAATAAATACTTCAATATTACTGTAAAATATCATTAAAAGGATAAAAAAAAGACTTTAATCACTTTGGTTGGAGCCATGTTGGCCGATGTAGTTTTTCTACAAAAAATTCAGTAAGATTTTTTTTAAACTCTACTTTTACAAAATAATATAATATGAATGAATTCACATCAGGTGTGTTTTTGTTTTTTAATTCAATTTACTAAGGTGTTAATATATAAATATATATAATAAAACAGTATATATCTAGCCATAATTGTCATAAATGTAACTTAGCTAGTTTTACTGTAAATAAAAAAATAATTTCATTAAATTCAATAAAATGTACCATCTATACAGACACTGCATCTATTGCATCCAACTTATTCTCTCACTGAAACGGCACCAACTCAAAGTTTCCCATTCATAGCAATGACTTTGTGGTGGCGTTCATGTGCGTTCAACTCAAAAACGATCTTTCTGACATGACTTGAATGCACCATTGTATACTGAATGCAACACGAAGAACACAAAACAAGCGCAAAGCACACATTTGGATTTATGCTGAACAAGGGGCCGTTCACATATCGCGTCTTTTGCACGCTCAAGTTCGTTATTTCAAATGTAGACGCGCGGCAGGCACGCTCATAATGGAAGCGACGCACTAATTTTTTCCAGCACCACATCGAGATAAACATTTCAACTTTTCAGAATGCCGCAAGCGCACCGCGGGTCATGTGACAAGAACCAACCAATCAATTTTCCGTAAAATCCGGTCATCACTTTTCTGGGACAGGTGGTGGGAGATACTAACCAGCAGGTGTGGATGAGCTGGATGGGGCGCCGCCGGCAGAGCGCTGGCTGGGTGTAGTGCGAACGGCCCACTGCATGGACCGCGGCGCCTGGGCCGCACTGTTGGCGTGTGCTGAGCCCGTGGTTCTCTCTAGAGGCTCGTCCAACAGGAAAGTCTCCTGATCCACATCGTCACTCTGACTGCTGCTGCTGTCCGAGTCACTGGAATCATTCGACTGGGAGTCGTCCTCGGAGAAGAAAGCAGGAACGCTGCTGGCACCTGCAGGTAAAAGACAGGGTTACAATTCTTATCAAATGCATGCACTCTTTATTCTGGTCCAAATTTTTATGCCATGGTTTAAAGAGAAAGTGATGTGACATGTAGCCAAGTATGGTGTCCCATACTCTGAATCATTTCACCCATCCAAGTGCACACACACAGCAGTAGTAGTGGGAAGCCATTTTTGCTGCAGCGCCCGGGTCTCACCTCAGTCATGGTATTGAAGGTAGAAGAGAGCACGGGTCATTCACTCCCCCCACCTACAATCCCTGCTGGTACTGAGACTCGAACCCGTGACCTTCGGGTTACAAGTCCGACTTTCTATCCATTAGGCCACGACTGCAGGTTTATACAAGTCCGTCTAACCATTAGGTGAAGGGTTTGCTACTTTTTGCATCATTGTGGCGTCAAAAATGATTACAATCCAGTTGGTTTGAGTGACACAACATTTGCTCAACCAATGGCGTGAGTTTTGGGGGGGGCTACTTGTTTCTTTGGCTTAATGCAGATGAGAGGTGTTAAATTTTTTTTTCCAATTCATTTTTGCAATTCTATTTGATGAAGCTCGAGGTGTAGAAATAAAAAAATTTTGTCCCTCTTTGTTCTTCAATTTTGTTTGATTTTTCTTTTAACTCAGGTACATTTACATTTATTTCAATGTTGATTAATGTACATGGTGCCTTGTTTAAATAAAATATAGGTAAATAAATCAACATAAGTAAATAAATCTAAACTTAGATAGATTAGACCAGAGTTTTCAACAGGGGGGCGCCAGCACCTGTCAAGGGGGGCGCGAGCATCAGTTAATTCAGAGACGTTCCCTTGAGAATTTATGAATATGAGTTAACAAATCTTTAGCCATCCACTAGGGGCAATCTGACTGCCACTGCTAGTCAACAGTTAGAGCAGAGTTGGCTCGAGTATCAGTCACGCTCAGTGTTGCCAAGTCCGCGGTTTTCCCGCGTGCACAAACAGATAGCCTTCTCAGACAGCAGGTGAATACCAATGGCTGTCTTGACAAGTATTGTCTTGTAAGCACAGTCGGTTGTTTTAAGTGAATGTAAACAGTAAAGAAAATATCAAATGTACATCAGTATAACGGATCCGTGCATTTCTTATGTAAATAATGTTAATCAAAAAGAGCAAAAGAAAAATTGTTCGCTGCTTTAATAGCTTTAATGGATATTTGCTTTTATGTTGATGTTAATAAAGTAATTCGGTGTGACTACAGTAATACCAGGGGGGCATGTCCTAAAAGGTTGAAAACCCCTGGATTAGACTATCTACTATTGGCAGAAATTACAGACTAACTAAACAAAGGCACCTGATTTTATAGGAAATAAGAAAAACCGACTGTTCGACCCACTAAATGTAATTCTACAGGTACCACATGGAAAAATTCAAAACAAAATGCGTTTATAGTTCTTATCTGAAGCCATTAGCTTCCTGTATGCTCAGTATGTTATGTGGAGGGCAAAACAAAATAGGAGGGAGCGCCACAATTACAGTAATTGCTGCAATTTTGACAAAGTGAAGCACCTGCTTCAGATCCAGCGGTGGCGGCGGTCACAACGCTCCTGCGGCCACTGGCGTTGTCCTGGTTGCTATGGTTACTCTCGCTGTCACTCTCCGTCTCAGCAGCAGCCAATAAATCCAGCTCCATGTCGCTCCCTGTAAGAAAAAAAGATTAGCGATTGTTTGTGACCTCAGTCTCATTAATCGAAGAAATTGTTGGCTTCTAGACAAAAGCACAAGGAGCAGCACCAGTGTTTCTAACAAATTTGTGTTTTTCCTGTGATACAAAAATACAGGAAATGCACTGCCATGTAGGGCTGGGCAAAATGAGCAATAATATTAAATCACAGTATTTTTTCCATATCATTCTATATTTATCACAATATTCACTTCATACCATTAATAGGAAAGAAATCCATCCCACATGTTTGTTAGACCTCGAGAATCAATTTAAACATAACGTATTTGTTTAGAAGCGAACACCACTGAAATCAGTTTTATTTTTTTCCTCAAATTCTGTGCTTCCCTTTTATTTTTTCTGGTTTCCACGTATGTGTTTTTTTTTGTGTGTGTGTGTGTGTGTTTTTTTATTACAAAAATTTATCTTAAAAAATTATGTCTAATTTAATGTGTTCATAAAATTTCAACAATTTAATCGATCTTTTAAAATATAATCCAATAAAAATAGAAGTACAACAAATAATTTTTTGGGGTTAAATAAGCTGCTAACACAACAGAACCTGAACATCATATAAATTAAAACATGAATAAAAATATCTCTGTTGTATGATATTTCTCAAACTATTTTTTTTTAATGTGAGGACTACATTTTACTATTAAAAAGTATTATTTCGGTCACATTTTCTTCGAGTTAAATCAAACTTTTATTTTGGTTGTTTATTGTGAAGACCTTTAATTGTACCAGATAAATGTTGATTTATCACTCAACCCTACTGGCATTAATTAAAAGCGTAATTAAAACCTTATCAGATAAAATGGTGATTTCCGAGTCAAATTTGCTGTGAAGAGTGATTTAAGTGTTCATGTGTTCACCGTCTTCATCGTGCTCATCATGCTGCCCTTCGGCCTCTGCGTTCTCCTCCCCCTGCTCCTCCTGGTCGTCATGGTGATCCTCCTCACCTGCAACACCTTCCACCACCTCTACCTGAACAGGTGAACAGCCAGGAGCATTTAGAGAGAGCTTCAGGCAAACAAACTAACTCTAAAACAAGTGATAGAATAATATAGCATTGCACCTCTTCTACATCAGCAGAAACTATATCATCCTGCTCTTCGTCGCGGCCGCGGGCCGTCTGGGACTGGCTGCTGCGGCGGGGCTGAGGGTTCCTGATGATGTACGAAGAGGCCGACTGACTGGAGCTGAGGCACAAGACAACACCAGCATTAATGACAACTTCAATAAGATCCAGTTGAATACTCCGCAATAGCTTCAGTGCAAACTTAAGCTACACCAGCGGTTTTCAGTCAGGTGGCCTCAGAAATATATATGAGATATGATGACTTAAACAAAAAAAAGATTTAAAAAAAAAAAAAACTATAAAATATGCTCAATAAGCTAAAAGTGTGATTTCGAGACCTGAAAAAAGTCATGCAAATAATTATACATTTCTCTAGTTACACAAAGTTAAAAAATATTTTATAGGGTAGAAAAAGCTTTGTAGTTTCAATTGTGGTGGGCAAAATATAATGCAATGCAATATGATGATTGAGAGATGAACAAATAGCCTAAATGTTACTCATAAGCCTGTCGTATCATATTTAACACTCAGTTTAATATGATGCATGGATAAATACAGTACATTTTTCTAGTTTTTTAATAACTGCTAGCTATTTTTCTAGTTTTTTTTTTCTTAAATTTTTTTTTAAATAGAAAAAGCTCTGTAGTTTTTATTGAGGGGAGAAAAAAAACAATGCAACGCAATACAGAGATGTACAAATAAATGTTACTCAAAAGCCTGGTGTATCATTCAATACATTTAAAAATGATGTGTGGATAATCTTAGACATTAAAAAAAAAAAATCTAGTTACGCCAAACTTTAAAATATTTTCATCAGGTCATTTTTTTTTTTTTTACATCCTTATCTTTAATTCTTATTTTCAGTCGTTTGTGGTTTACGGGATATGTAAATTTACTGGTTAAAAAGAGCAGAAGCCCTGAAGAAGATTCTGCTCTCGAAATTTCTGTAATTCTGAAGTATGATTATTTTAGTAGCAAATTTTAACCCACAGACACTCTTAGTTTCTGTAAATTACAAAAAGCTTTGAAATCAAGCTTTGTCATTGTAGCAGAAGTACCACAGGATTAGTCTACAAGAGGGGAGTCAAAGTTGAAAACCACTGAGATGCACTAATTTCTGGGCTGCAGGAAGCTGCGGGTGAATTTTTGGTCAACTGAAGCATCGCTCACCTGCTGGACTGATCCGGGGAGGGTCGTGGCGGCAGGGGCTCCACAGAGAAGAGCTCCTCGCTGCCCTGTACGGCGTCGATGCTGGTACTGGCCAGAGTGAAGGGCGCTGTAGGGCGAGCGATGCCCATCCGCACCGGCACAATCAGAGACTCGGCCACATTGCAGAGCTCTTCCACCGAATACGGCAACAGAGCCTGGAAAACACGCCTGCACTTCCCGATGGGCTGCGGGATGAAGTTGCTGAAGGAAATACAAAAGAGAGAGAATGTGAGCAGTGTGAAAAATAAATATTCTTAACCCTGTAAAGCCTAACATGAAATAATGCTCAGAAAAATCTTATTTTTTAAAATGGAACCGTTTAGTGAACCTTTAGACACTAAACAAAAAACTAAAAATATTTGCAAGTGCATTTTTTGAGTATCATATTTGATACATCAGGCTTTTATTGGCTCATATAGCCTGATATAGTGAGAATATGGAGGAAAAGACAACTAAATTTTATTCAAAGGCCCAAACTGAGCAGAAATATGCAATTTGTTGCAGATGCTGATATTTATATGGCCAAGAAGTAAGATGAAATTCTGATGCTTGTAATGTAAATCAATGAGATCTTTATAACAGTATAGAAGATACTTACATAAAATGATATAAATATCAGTCATCACTCTGTATCTCCAATAATATGTAGTAAGTAAGATGAGATTTAAATGCTTGCATACAATGCAATACAATGATGATTGAGAGATGAAGAAATAAACGTTACAAAAGGCATGTAGTGGGTTGTGTGCAACGGGTTTTGATCATGTTGATCATTTAGAGGTCTTAGAAATCTGTGTTTCAAATATGATACAAGTAGGCTTTAAAGGAATGTGAACAATTACCATACTAACTTTGATTTTTTTTTGTTGCACAAAGCAGTTTATATTTTGTTGATAAAGTAAACATATTACAAAGTGTGACAGTATAAGCGAAGTTCAGTAAATAAGTCATACTTTTTCTTCTTGGAAGACGCCATCTCCACACTGAGGATGACAAACACTCGGGCCACGGAGCGCAGGAACCTGCGTGTGACGTTGATGGCCTCCTCCCTGCGGCCGGGAGTGTATTTATTCTGCAGCTCCTTCACCAGGGTCCCCAAAAGAGTGTCAATAAACTGGAGAACAACAAGAGCAAGAGGAGACAGTTAGCAAACTGCTGCTATTCTGAAAATAATGTAGATACACCCTGCATTCAAACTAATCAAGGTTAGCTGGAACTCATTAGGGCACAAGAAACATGCAAAATAATTAAATATTCATGGCTGTAAAAGCACAACTGCAGTTTCTTGGACTCACAGTGATGTCTGGTGCACACTTGACGATGAGGCAGTGTGTGAAACAGTCCAGTCTGATGGTACCGCTCTGCTGGTTCAGGTACATCTGCTCTTCTGGTAAAAGGTGAGCGATTTTGCTGCTGGCACTTAGTCTGGAACGATACAAAACGTTGTGTCAGCAAAAATGTCTTGAAAGCTGAATAAGTACCATGAAATTCGCCTGGTTGGTGTTTAATGATGTACTTACGGGTCTTTGTTTTCATGAGAACCGAACATTATCATGGACTTCAGCGCGTTCCAGTCCTGCAACACGCGCTCTAGAGCCAGCTGCGCGAAGCGAGGAGGCTCCAGGTCATGATCCGGCATATCAGAGTCTGAGAGAAAGACAGACACACATTAAAGAACACAGAACAAACCAATGTTCTCCACACATACACTAACGAATCATGCACAATAAAATCATGAACATTAAGAAATGAAATACTTGTCTTCAAGATATTTCTCCACTTCTGATGCTTTGTAGCAAAGGTTAAAAGCAGACTTACGAAACATTCTTAAGAATAAAAACTAGAGTTTGACAGATGTATCGGAACTATCGGCTAAAATGCTGGAACTATCGGCTAAAATCCATGCCGATAGTTTATCAGGGTTGTGTCTGTTGCTGGAGCGGCTGAGAAGGTCCGCTGTCATTATACAGTACGAGAGCGGCCTCTAGGGGCGGAAATCACTGACAGCACGTGCTGTTTGTTTTGACACGTGACACTGCATGCTGCACAGAGCAGGGGGCTCTTTCATAAAACAAGTTTACCAAATAAGCCAGGTTTATTTTAGTTAGTATGACTTATTGTCAGTTGATTTGGTTCAAAATAAGTCAGACTACCTGAAATAAGCCTGGCTTATTTGGTAAACTTGTTTTATGAAACAGGCCCCTGGACACTTAAGAGGCACAGGTCTAAAACAGACAACGAAACGGTGTATACAGTAGGGCTGTGCGATTTGGGGGAAAATATCAAATTGCGATTTTTTTTGACAGATATTGCGATTTGATTTGCGATTTTAAATTTGCAAAGTCAAGCTTCAGCTCAATATTGTCAATAATTTGCAGCACAGTATGGGTATCATTACCCTGCTGAAAAAAACAATAGAAACCATCACAGAAATTCGCGATTCGATTTCGATTAATCGCACAGCCCTAGTATACAGTACACTAAAGTGCATGTTTTCATATTATTACTAAGCAATTAATTTGTTGACTAGATGCTGCATTAGTTTGCTATCAAGGCTGAGAGGATGCGAACATTAGCAGCATTTCAAGCGGTTAAAACAAAACACACACAAGTCTGACCCAAATGTTTAATGTCACGATTGTTACCATCTATTTGCATTAGTTTATATCCAGCTAGTCACATTAACGCATTTCTTATCCAGCGAAGTTGCAGATCTAAAGCTGAGACGTGAGAAAGCAAAATGATATGTTCATTCAGCTGACAGAAATCCTGCCGCGCCACGGAGCGCCATTCACACAGTTTTCATTAAATTACATTATATGTCCTAAATCGTTGTTAATGTACATAGTGACTTCACCCTGGGCTGGAAGATTGTGTATTGTGCATTTTTCTGTATGCTTCATATAGAGAGCTACATAGAGCGAAAAAAATAATAATAAAAAAAGAGCAAAACAGAAAGAGAAAGCTTTCTCTTTTGCGCTTTTTTTTTTTTTTTTACACCAAATTTCAAACTCATATGCTGTTTTTTTTTTTTTATCATTCTTGAAGTGAACTTTTGCCCATTTCGTGATAAAATAAACAGTTTTAGACAACTGCTTGAACTAAATACGACGTGTCTGGTGCAGGGCTCCAGACTGCGACCAAATAGTCGCATTTTGCGACCATTTTTCCTGCTGGTGCAACTAATTTTTTTATAGGTCGCACTGGTGCGACTGCAAAATTTTAATATAATTATATTTTAAATCAATGCACAGGCGATTTCGTTAATGGCACATCCAGTCAGTCTCAGTTTTCGCTTAACAAAACCGCGCTACTCATTTGAACTGTGCAGCGCCTGGTTTATACTCGCCGCGTCAGCACGAGTGCGAAGGTGCGCGCAGCACAAATGACGCGAATATTGAGGAAACGATGGATGGTTTTCAAGCCAAAGTAAAGTAAAAGACCGCTTCTTAAACCAGAGAAAGTGAAAATGTTGGTACTCATGGCAAAAAAACATGCAAGCACTGTCACCGACAGCAAGTTTAGTTTTACTTTTCTTTTTGTTTTCATTTTGAAAAGCTTGTTATCTTTGCTGTTTGTGTGCACAAGTACTCTGAAGTGAGACAATGATCGATAATGTCAGCAATAATCATTCATAATGATTATTAAGCATGATGCTTTTTGCTGAATTTGAAATTCAGTAACAATACAAAAACAAGTCAAATAGGGACCAAAATAAAAACCCAAAGCCTATAATTTTTTTTTTGAGAAACTGCACTTAAAATAAATTCCAAGAAGATTTTAAGAATGTTTCAAAGAAAAGATTTTCACAAATCCAGACCCAGATCACTTCCCTACTCAAAGACACACCTTCAGCGCTGGCTGCCTTCCGGTTCCTGTCCTCCCGTATGCGAGGTGGTCGATACTGGCAATGCTCCACGCTCTGCCTTGCAACAGTCTGCACCAGGAACAGCAAGATGTGCTCTCCCCTGCCAGACACAAACAAACGGCGCTCAGGACACAGAACACTGGCCGGACGTTGTCCTGATGACCCCGTAAAACGGTCTGGCAACAGAAAGTTGGAGCAGGACTTAAAGGACTCATTCCTTGAACATACCTGCTGTTAGGAGTGGTAACTAGATTAGTGGTGGTCAGCAGCCTGTAGAGCAGATCCAAACGAGCTGCTTTCTGGCCCGCGATGAGGGTCTTGCATTTACACTTCTCCCAGCAGTCACAGTATGCGGTGGGAGACGTTCTCTTCAGTCTGGAGAAGAAACAAGAGAGATTACTGTTTTACAACCTTGTGAACTATCTTGCTGCCTTCTAGGGATTACAGCAACTGAAACGTAAGCCCATAAGTAATAGCTCTGGAAAACTTTTGATTGGCAGCAACTTATTAGATTTCAGAAAGTTCAGTGCCAACACGTTGCTAGGCTAAAAGCACAATACTCAATATAAGCAATACAAGTATAAAAATACATGCAGTCCACAGTCTAGCAGTAAATGTTTCTCTACATACTTTTTGAAAAGTACAGCTTTCAGTAATAAATCAACATTTAGCTTGCATCACCTGTAGGGATGTAACGATTCACCGCGAGCCGGATGAAAATCGATGCAAATATGTGACGATTCAAATCGGTTGAGGTGTTCAACGAATCGCGATACATTTGGGAGAGTGAGTTTATATGAATGTATCTCTGAGGGGAACTGACTGTCTTTAGAAAAGTTTAGATGGTATTTTCTTTTCATCACGTCTCTGTATAATGCATATTAAAGCAGCGTTCATAAGCGCTCCGCTGCTTTGTTTACAGTCAAAGAAATGCTGTATCTGCTGTTCCATAAGCGCCACCTGCTGTCAGAGAGTGAATCTGCGTCTTATTCAGCCCGTCTGCTGTTTCGGTTTCCTGCAGATGTTTTATGTAGTATAGTTTTACAAAACTAAAGTCAGAGCATTCCGTTTTTGTTTTAAAATTTCAAATAATACAATCTAATTTAGATTTTAAAAACTGCTCATGCAGCATGTATTCAGCATCTTTGTTTGGTTTGTGATTCAAATGCAGTGGTTGTCTCTAATTTTTAAATGGAAAGCACAGACAAGCCTTTGTTTATGAGGTGAGGTGTTTTTGTCTTATTTGGGGTTTGTTTTAAAATTTCAATTTAGTTTTGTTATTTGACATATTTCTGTTTCACAAAGAAATGTGCAGCATTTTGTCCAAGCAATAATAAAAGGACACCTTTTCATTTATAATTTGTCTTAAATCTAATATCATTTAAAAAACAAAATTTGTGAGAAAATCAAATCATGAAATCAAGTATCGTGAATCGAATCGTGAGTCGAGTGAATTGTTACATCACTAATCGCCTGTCATCTTGATTTTTTTACACAAAGCTTGTTGCAATCAGTGTTATTTTTGTATTATTTATATACTACTATAGTATTTATTACTATTTTAATTAGCTTTGATTTTTATTGTATTTTTTTCATTTATAATTGGTCTTAAATCTAATATCATTTAAAAAACAAAATTTGTGAGAAAATCAAATCATGAAATCAAGTATCGTGAATCGAATCGTGAGTCGAGTGAATTGTTACATCACTAATCGCCTGTCATCTTGATTTTTTTACACAAAGCTTGTTGCAATCAGTGTTATTTTTGTATTATTTATATACTACTATAGTATTTATTAATATTTTAATTAGCTTTGATTTTTATTGTATTTTTTATGCTTTTTTTCAGTTTTAATTTTAACTTTAGTTTTAGTAATTTTGTTCTATGCTTTTTTATTGCATTTTTATTACTTCCTATATCATTTCAGCTTTCATTTTTATTTTTTTCAGTTAATTTTAGTACTTCAACTGATTTTATTTCAGTTATTTGTCAAGACAAGATTTCTGATTTTCGTACAAGTTTTTCATGAAATATTTATATTTTCTTTAAGCTTCATTTCAATTAATAAACTTTTTATAACAGTTTAAGTTACCGTTAACAACAATGTTTGCACTGCATTCAAGGATTTCGTTCTTCCATACAAGGATAAGGACAAGGATACAAGTGGTGATGCAGAAAATTAGGTGTCAAGTTCAAATGATTTTATGGCATCGCACTCACTTGCAGTCGTGACCCTTGTGACAAACTCTGGCGCATTCAGTGCAGCAGCACAGAGACTCCAGCAGGCCGCAAGTTCTGCACTCAAAGATGTCCTGAAAACATACAACTTCAGTTAATCACACAGTGCCACTCTATAAAATCATTCAGCTCAAGTACTAAAATAACTAAAGAAAAAAAAAACATTAAAAAAAAAAAACAATTACTAAACCCAAAATAAATAAACACTTATATAGACATTAAACAAAACTAACAAAAAAGACAAAAAAACAACAAAATTAAAATAAAATAAACATAAAAAAAAAAAAGTATTGTAATTTCTCATTTTCGTTTAGTTTAACTTGAAGTACTAAAATAAAAAAAATATATATAGACAAAAAAAAAAGGGCAAAAAGTGACAAACTAACTAAAATAAAAACAGAAAATATAAAAATAAAATCTAAACAAAAACTATAATGGTACATTATTAATACTAAAATAACACAGTTAAACTGCAGCCATGTACTCACCTTTGGCTATTTTCTGTGCTGCTTCTAAAACAGTAATGGCTGCTGGGTAAGCTCTCCCACTCACCGCCAACATGAATGGAGTCATCCCACGAGCATCCCTATCAAACAACAGCAAAACAAACACTCAAAGAGCGCTAACGGGAAATCGGCTATCATTCAGAGCTGCAGGAGGGTGACGTACTTGGCAGAGAGCAGCTCTCTCAAGTGAGGTCGCAGGACGACGCTGTCACACATTAGCTTCAGTATCAGGTGTGCGTTTGCCTTCCGGTCTTTAGATTCCACTACTGATGGTTCAGATGAAGGTCCTTCAGAAGACAGAGGAAATACTGAAAACATGCTACAAGAGTGTTTAATAAATGACAGCACAAAGCAGCAGTTCTCAACTGGAGAGACTGTGACCCAAAAAGGTTGCAGGTATATTCTGATTCAGGGTTATTGTTAACTGAAACAACTAAAACAATTTTAAAAAATATATATTAATTTGTTACTTTAAATAAAATAAACATTCATTGAAATAAAACATAAATTATTTTAAAAAGAGCAAACTTATTTTACTTTGTTTTGCCAAGGCAACATTTCTCATTTCCATTTAGCTTGAACTAAAATAACTGAAAAAAAAATTGATTAATAAATACTACATAGACATATTTAAATAATAATAATAATATAATAATAATTATAAATACGAATAATTATAAATAAATACATTTAAATAATAATTTAAAAGACAAAAAAACAACAAAATTACTAAAACTTTACAATTAAAGTTAGCTCAGAAAAAAATAAAAAATAAATACTATATGTAATACTGTAATATATGTGTAATACTGCTTTAAATTGTTGTTGTTTTTCCCCCAACATATTTTTTTTTTTAAATTTTTTAATTTAATTGCAATTTTGTTTTTCTGAGCAAAAAAATAAATGTCATACCTTTTCCCCTGATTTACAGAAGAGACCCACTAAAATGTCATTCAGTGTAACAATCTTGTCAGTCATATTTACAACAAAATCAATTTATGACATATTAAAAGACTAATTACTTTCACCCCAAATACTAATTAGTCGTAATTTTACATTGGGAAGGGGGCAAAACCTTTTTCACACCACTGTATATATATATAAAAAAAAAAAATCTAATAATACTAATCAATCATACTAAAATAACACTGCTCTGATTGGGTCACCATTGACGTACAAAGCAAAATCTGGGTCCTGGAGCAAAACCAGTTGAGAACCACTGGTGTAGAAAGTCCTTTGGGAGGCCGGTTCACGTACCTGGGATGGTGGAAGTGCTGGGACCCTGGCTGGTGCCTGTGGAGGCAGTGGTAAGGGAGCCCACTGCAGGGGCCAAGATGAAATCAATGTCCCCGTCTAGCAGAGAAGATGGTTTTGTAAGACATCAGGCTAATCGCATGCATGCAATACATCTGTTACGACCCAAAAACTGCTGCACTCACCAGGATCCATCGGTGGAGGGTCTGGTACCCAGCTGGGAGGAGCAATAGGGGGTGAAACGGGGTCTTGGTGGTCACTGGAGGAAGGGCCGGATTCGTGCCGGCCCAAACCTGCAGCGCGGAGGGAGCGCCTCATCATCTCTCTCAAGCGCAAGCTACAGAAACGAGAACAACGAAAGTGAAACAACTGTACACTAGGGCTGTCAAAAAAAAATCGAATATCGAATTTAAAATAAAAATCCACATTTAGGTCAAATTTTAGGTGTGCGTTAAAGAGGCAGCCTTATCAGTGGCGCACAAGATACAATGATGACGATGTAAGTGTCATTGCATTTTAATGTTTTTGTCAGCCTATTCAGTTGAAGCCACTAGATGCGGCGCTGCTGCATTGTTAATTAAAAATATTGCGGAAAAAGAGAACATCAATGCCAATTCGAATTTTGATAATACTTAAGTACAAAATTCAAATTTAGTTTCAGCCATTTTGACAGCCCTACTGTACACCAAACAATCTAATACAGAAGTAGAAAAGAGATTTTCATTTTATATTACTCCTGTTGCTCTGAACACCAAAGCCATGGTTTCAATTCCAAAGGAATGCATGAACTGGATCAAAATGTATAACAGAGTTTGAATGCATGGATATAGAACAAACCCATACAATCTCAAAGCAAACCATGCATCTCGGATTCTTTTACTTAATTAAACAGGCTGCGACACACATTTAAGTGCAATTTTAAAATACTCAAGACACGTTTTATTCAATATATACATATGTATTGAAATTGAATTGAATTGCTGATATATCAACACATACGAATTACAGGTCGACTGCTATTGGATTTTGCTGATACGATAATAATGTGTTTAAAGAAAAGCAATTAAAAGACTCTGTCGATAACAGTAAAATCAATACAATGAATGTGTTTAAGAAATGTTATCAGGCTTTCCTTTTTGTGACAGGTGGTCAGAGAGAAGCCACGTTGAATTAAATGCCCGACACACTTAATTGTGTAACCAAAACACCAACAATACCCAGAAAAAAAGATTTTACAAACAAGCCCAAAAAAAGACCGGGACTCTTATTTTGAAATGTCTATGCTTTACTACTTTAAAAAAAATAGTTAATGTGCAATAACTGTTGCAATTTATTTATTTTCATGTGCTACGCCCTCTATTAATCTTTGAAGTTTGTAAAACTGCCAATAGTTTGTTGAAATGGTTTTCCGTATCCCAGTGAATCTGAACACTGACCCCCGGCTGCTGGACGATCCTGTGCGGTTCCCCGAGCTGTTGCTGGACACCACTGAAATGGCATTGGCGATGGCTTCGACAGCGGACAGCCTCTCAGCGAACGTGTTCCTTTCAGACCGCTCTGCTTCTGAAACACAGCGCACGGCACTCAAGTCATCTCAGGCTGGGTTTAGAAAAACATCTAACATCAGCTGCGTTCCAATCAATCCAGTGAGCTGCCTCGCCACATGAGGTCTACACAGGTCATCAATTTTGTTACTTAAAATATATGGCTTTCAGTTTATTTTACTTCAGTTAATTGTTAAATGCTTTTAATAAATAAATGTTTAATGAAATAAAATAAATTTCAGTTAGTTGCCACAGCAACATTTGTATTTTTTGTTGAGTTTAAGTGCTAAACAATTAAAACTGAAATAAACTATAGACATAAAAAAAAAATAATAAATAAAAAAAAAATAATAATAATTTTCAATGAAGACAGAAAACATAAAAATAAAACTAATTCACAATTTTAAAGGGATAGTTCACCCAAAAATGAAAATTCATTTCATTTACTAACCCTCTAGTCATTCCAAACCTGTATGAATTTTTTCAGCTGTTGAACACAAAAGATTTTTTGAAGAATGTTTGTAACCAAACAGTTGACGGTAACCATTGACTTTCAAATTATGGAAAAAATACTATAGAAGTCAATGGCTACTAGGGCTGTGACGGTCGCCGTGACAACCGTGTCTATTGCCACCGGCGGTAGTGCACGTGACGTCACACACTCTATAACAAGCATAATACAAAGTTTTGTATACAAGTGTAATAACAGTAATAACAGTAGTGGAACAGTGAACCGTGTCTACACCAGACGCGACACCGCCGCGTCGCAACAGGTTGAGTCTGTCTAGTGTCTACACAGGACATTTGAACTCTGTGTCAGTACCTCATAAATAGGACGAGGCGGTTTACAGTCGGGGATTTGTCATGTCGTATCGTGCCGCATCCAGTGTAGCATCACTGATTATAATGAGTTTTATAGTATTTTGTCGTGCCGCGCCGCACAGCTCGCGTCCTGTAGACAGGGTGTATTCAACTTTCTTATTTTGGGCTACTTTCTTGTTTAACTGTATTATTTCTTTGATATTTATTTTAGTGTTTTGCAGGCTGCGTATTCACTGACGGAAGTGCTAAAATAAACACGAGCTGACGAGTTAAATCGGGTGTGTTAGATGAGTGAGACAGTGCTGGGCTGCTCCAGGACAGTTTTGAAAACCATTTCAGAGGTTAAACTGAAAAAAGAATCGCTTGCGTTAACGCGCTAATTTTGACACCACTAATTATATATATATATATTATTATTTTATTTTTTTATTTATATCAACACCGCGCCACCGGCGGTAGTTGGTCCATTACCACCGCGGTGGTCAAAATCTGCCACCGTCACAGCCCTAATGGCTACTGTCAAGAAATATTTTCTTTTGTGCTCAGTAAAAGAAAGAAACTCATACAGGTTTGGAACAAGTGGACAGTGAGTATATGATACTTTTCATTTTTGTGAAAATGATTTCTGAAGGATCATGTGACACTGAAGACTGGAGTAATGGCTAATGGAAATTCAGCTTTGTATCACAGAAATAAATTATATTTTAAAGGATATTAAAATAGAAACCATTATTTTTATATTGTAATAACATTTTGCAAGATTACTGTTTTTTTTCTGTATTTTTGATCAAATAAATGCAGCCTTGATGAGCAGAAGAGACTTCTTTAAAAAACATTACGAGTCTGACTGATCCCAAACTTTTGAGCGGTAGTGTATGTGCACCCCTTGTAATAACATCTCAGTGCCACTGAAATAACATTAAAAACATTGTGTTCTTACCTTCCTCCTCCTTGGTTTCCTTGTTGCTGACGGGGAAGCAGACGGAGACACAGGCGTGGAGGATGTTACGGGGAAGCAGACGGAGACGCAGGCGTGGAGGATGTTGCGGTTGCCGTCGCAGCGGTGACCCAGCAGAGCGTCCAGAGCGTGAGGGTTCTGCTCCAGAAGCATGGCCTGCTCCAGACTGATCAGGTACTGCCTGCACGCCTCGTAATCACAGCGCAGCACGTGCTGCATCAGCGTCTGCTTCTGAAACGCAGAGAGCAAACAATACATCAATCAGAAATCAGGGCTCAAGCATTTCACTCACATTTGCGTGTGTGAGCTATAAAATGTTTTTAGTACGTGACAATAATGTAGGTCAATGTAGGTCCTTAAAAAGTGAAAACAATTTTTTTAAATTTAAGATCATACGTGAATATGAATATGCGTATTTATGCCAACAGATGTTGGTGTTTACTTTACAGGTGTTTACTTTATGGTGTTTATATTGTAATATTAGTTGTTAGAGTGCATTTTTCATCTATCATCTGTCTGAATGAGCAGCTGGAAGAATTAAAAAGGCATTTCAAAATAAGAGTCCTGTGCGTATCCAGAAATCAGGGCTCAAGCATTTCACTCACATTTGCGTGTGTGAGCTATAAAATGTTTTTAGTACATGTGACAATAATGTAGGTCAATGTAGGTCCTTAAAAAGTAAAAACTAATTTTTTTTTAATTTAAGATCATACATGAATATGCGTATTTATGCCAACAGATGTTGGTGTTTACTTTACAGGTGTTTACTTTATGGTGTTTATATTGTAATATTAGTTGTCATGTTTAAAAAAAATAATTCTATAATTATTAAATGCATACAGTTTGAAGCAGAAATCTTGTGTACTTTTTGTATACAAATAAATAAAATCTTTTTGCTTGTAAAGGTCTCCTTGTGTTCCTTGAGGACAAACTAAGTGTCAAGCCCTGAAAAATGGAGGTTTTCAGGGATTGGTAGAGCTAACTGAATGTCTAACGTTTAGCAGGTTGGTGTAACATACCTCCACTGCCATGATGATGATGGCCGCTTTCTTTTTGATTGTGGTGTTACTGGGAAGGTTGACGAGCGAATGAACGCCCATGCCTAGGCTAGCAATAGGCGGGAGGTCTAGCCAATCAGGGTCGCGTATTCCACCCATACAGTCTTTAGCCATGGGATAAATGGTGCCGTTACCGTCCCTCAAAATGATGGGGCTCTCCTGAGGACGCAAAGATGAGAAAGATTTAATGTTCAGGGCTTGCTTACTTTCCCCCCAAAGAAATGTTGAAAAACTTTATTAAATTTATCAAATAATGTGTTTTTCCTTATTAAAGGCATACAAGGAGACATTTACAAGCAGAAAGATTTTTACAACATTTTGTTTTCAACAACAAAAAAAGTACAAGATTTAAATACAAACATCAGCTTAAAACTATGTAATAATTATGCAATTACACATTATATATTATAAATAATATATAAAACAGGTGTACAGAGAAACGCATGGAACGCATCAGACTGTGTGATGTCTCACCTGGCCAGCAGTGAAGATGGCCACGTTACGCTCACTCTGGCCCAGAAAGGCCAGATTACTAGTGGGGAAGTGATTCTCCTGCTCGGCTTTGCCGGTGGCCAAGTCAAAGACACAGTACCGTACCCAGCTGCCTGTTTTCAACACAGCATGAACTCCTGCAGGACGAAAGACAACAGAACAGTTAAGCAGATGTACAGGGAAAATTCACAACAAAATGTGAGATAAAAGCAAACAATATTCACCTTTGGAGTCAACATTCACAGCTAAAATTTCAGCTTTTTCTGGGATACAAAGTTTTTTAGGAGTGCGCTGAAAACAGTCTGGAACTTTTGGCGTTCCACCAGTTTTAACAACCTGTTCAACCTGTTCGAGAAATGCCTCTCAGCTAAAAATTCACCCAGATTTGTTTTCATTTTTCACAATATTTATAATATTTATATGTTTTCAAACTGGGGACCGGAAAGAGGTGCTGGGAATCTGTGAAAATTTGAAAAAACTATACAAAATATATATATTTTGAGGTTTTCTCAAATGTAATATAAATTTTTATATATATTGTTTTATACACACACACACACATATATACACACACACAC